GCGTTTTATAGCTTCATTTGTTTGTCGATACATTTTTTTTAATAATTTTATACGCATTTGGCATTCTAGAGTATTATTTTCATTTATTGAAAAAAAAAAGAACCATAATATTTTAACTTACGATCAGCTGTACGAGTTATTCCAATAGCTTGCAGTTGATTTGCAATATCTTCATAAATACAACGATTTCGACTATTTAAACGTAAAGCTGTTTGAGTTGTTGAATCAGCCCAAAGACGAATTAATGCTTCAGTTTCATTAAAACTCCAACTAATTCCTCGAGGCATTTTCTTTTTTTTTTCTTCTCTTTGCTTTCTTAGTTATACACTTTTTCCAATTGATTCTTACGTCTGAATATAATACGTTCAAAATAAACGGAAAAGGTCAAAAAAGGACAACGTTGCTCATTCTAGACTAGAAAAAAGTTCATGTTCATATACAGAATGAGCAAAATTTGGATGAACTATTTCTGTCTGTCATTGAATTTCATCAACGTACGTTTTTTTTTTCTTCGTTTCTATCGTCGAACGAATTAAATGACATAACACAGCAAAAGCAATAGAACGAATTATTCCGTTCTATTCCATCTTCGTTTTGCATTGCTTAGCTTAAAAATAAAAGTAGAAAATTAACTTCATTGGTTTTTTCTTTTGTTTTTATTTATTCTTACAATATATTGAATAAAAAATAGATTTAGAAAAACAATTGTTTACGTTGGTTGTATATGAAAAACATGTTGGAATGGAAAAATAAAATTATCATCAATCAATAAATATATCGTTAAGTATGACATGAGCAGCAAGTCCTTACATCTTGTTATTTATTCGTTGAATAATTTTTTCATAAGAATCAAATTTTGAATTCAAAGATTCGTCACAGAACTAAATATCGATATTGTCAAATACTTGCGAAGAAAATGAAATAGAACAAAGTCAATACTTGTTCACAAGTAATTCTTGCATGCTATCATTCACACCATTAGGAACAGTTAAATAAAATTATCTTCATCATCAATGTATTCTAATTTAGCTTCAATTTGTTTATCTGATTCTACATTATTTTGAAATTGTGTATTATCAATCGAGGAATTTGTATATAACATTTCAACTGTTTTATAAAAATGTTAGATTTTTAGATCAAATGAATAACAAACAGAGTTCTTTTTTCAGATGATTCAACTCGCCAAGCGATAAAGTAATCAAAAATGTTCACATGAACAAATGAACAAAATTCGGTTGTTAACATGCATCATTAACACTGTAGTATATTGAGCAATATTAATAGCATAATTCAGTTTTCAACGAGACAGAAAATGCTTGTTCGACTATTCTTATCAAATATTCATGACCAACTACGTTACAATTCATCAACAGCATTTTCTATCTATATTCAAAAAGAAAATAATTTATATAAACTTTATTCAATATTATTCATCAAATTCAAGTAGAATAAGTTTAAGATTTGATTTAGTTGCAGCTTCTTCAATTTTCTTTAAAAATATTTAATCAAACATAGCATTTTACTTTTAAGTTTTTTTTTACTCTAATACTCTTACTTGAACTGAATCTGTAAAAACTATTTCATCAAGATCTTGATGAATAGTAATGTCATATTGTCATAGTCAGATTTATCAGCTGAATTGTATCATCAAATTGCTATCGTAACAATATCTGTTTTACCTTGTATAATGTTGCCAACACCTGATGCAAATCCATGCCACAATATCATATAAAGATAGAATCTAGAATTTGATTCAAATGATGAAACACATCTTTTTGATAAGAGACAAACAATAGAGTGAAGCAGATGGTGTTTGTTCAGTTAATTTGAGAATGGCAACATTACTTATCTAACAGTTAAGCATAAAGATTAGTATGATTTAATACGAAGTATGAACTTATCACAAGTTAATTTTAATTCAAATTTTACTACCGACATAACAATCTAAAAAAAATCTGTCAATATTTTTTTCGTAAAAGACTTTTATTATTAAGGACAATATCGTACCGAACAGTCAGTTAAAGAAAAAAAATGGAATATGAGTTTTCATTAGTCTAGTGTTTAAACTGGTCATGAAATGATTTGTCCACAAATACCAACTGGTTCATGTCGAGTATAAATAAAAATAATCGAAGTACCTGTTCCTGATAGAAATACTCCACCAGTGATCTTATTAGACCATTGAATATTTGTAAAATATGAATATTATAATTAGAGAAAGACAATACTGCAGAAAGTTACAATAATCAAGACAAAAAGCTATGCCAAGAACTTCACAATAACTTTCTTGTAGCACTTTTCCACTATTCGGTGTATCCAATTTCGAAATAATTATTATTATATACGAATGCAAAGAAACTGAATAAATATTTTACCGATAAATAATCTCCAACACGTTGAAATAAATCAGCTTGATTATGAGTCAATGTAGCATATGCCATAGGTTCTAATTTATGTCAGGGAGAAGTATGTTGAAAAGTTTTTTCAGCTGGTTCAATTGTTTTATCATCATTAACTTACAAATAATAATGAAATATAAATATAAGAAAAACATTTACATATGCATTGACACTTTAGTGGCTTCTTCTACTTGATAGGTGTCTTCACCTGTACTTGGAACGATGAAAGGAAATCGAATTAATTCATCGCCGTTATCGGTTCTTAATTGGAATTGAATCAAATCTTTATATGTCTCGCACAGATAGATTTTACTTTATGTTTATCAATAAGCCAGTTAAGTGGATAGAGACTTCGTCTGAAAAAAAAGTGAATTCTTCTGATTCTTGATGTTTTTTAACGTTGTGATATCAAAGTGATATCATTTCAACTCGATCTTGTCAATGGTCTTCGGGAAGTTGTTGAACAAATTACGTCTTGTATGACATCATTAGAAGATATTCAGTCATAATTCGGCCTACGGTTATTCATGGAAAGGTAGCAGGCTGTTGCAACGATACCAACACTCAATATTTACACATTTTCTTTGGTGAAATTTTTGAAGGTCTTTCCCGCTGTTATCCATTTATTACTATTCGGATTTCACAAAAGTGTTGGAAAGCATTTCTAGTGCGGTCTATGTCTGACGTTTGTATGCCCGATTCTACTTGTATTTTTCCTTTCACTACGATGGCTACCTCAAAGTCGGTCATGAATAAAAGTTTTTTCTAATATACTGTCTATAAATACAGACATTTCTATTAAAATATGCAGTGGCTGTCAAAATTATCCAACCATTAGACAGGCTTTTATTGTTTTATTGGTATTTGAAAATCTACATTAGTTAGAACTGCTGGGTTTTCGTCCTAACAGAGACAACACTATCTGGGAAACATATGGAAATTTTCAGACCAATCTACACAATAATATAAGATTTTCTACAAGACATATCATTTGAAAGAGTAAACTATTCTCTACACAATGAATTAGTTTTTATTGCATTGATTTACAAAAAAACCTCTCGAAAATAAATATTCTCGAGATTATTTCAAGTCTTTGTAGATGATTCTTTTTCTATTAATATTCAACTAATGTCAACGCATAATATACCATTCAAAAAAGCATGAACAACAGCGATAGATATGCCTTTCAGTTGACTGTTGTACAGCACAATGTTGAATGGATCAGTCTTAACGTTTATACAATAAGACGCATAGTTCTTCAAATATTTTCTGAATTTGTGAATCACAAATTCGGTAAAGGTTTTGAAATTTATATGTAGGTTCTTAGTGAATCATATTCTCTACAAACTATAATGACTGAAAAAGAAAGTAGTGGTAGCATCAACAGCCACAGATGATTATTTTGGCAAATATGATAAGAGTAAAACCTCACCAATAGCTCTAACAAAAATCTGAGCCCAAATTTATCTAAACTGACAAATAAATAACTAAGTTAAATGTATGATCCCGAATCTTTACTGAGTCTTTTGGTGACGCTTTGTTCATAATATGTTTTCCGAAATAATCATCTTTGGTTGTTAAAGCTACAACTGCTTTTATTTTCAGCCATTGAAGGTTTGTAGAGAATATGATTTACGAAGAATCTATAAATATATTTCAAAACCTTTACGGAATTCATGAAACGTAAATTCAGACAATACTTGGAGGAGTATGCCTCTATTGGTATAAACATTAAGATTGGTTCATTCAAACATTGTGTTGTACAATATTCAATTGAATTGCATATCTAATGCAGTTTTTCATGCTTTTTTAAAATGTTATATTATGTATTGAAATAGGTCGAATATTAATAGAAAAAGAATCGTCCATAAAGACCTGAATGATCTTGAGAATACTCGTTTTCGAAAGTTTTTTGTAAATCAATGCAATAAAAAATAGTTGATTATGAAGAGAATAGTTTGCTCTTTTGAATGATATGTCTTACAGCAAACTTCATATGAAATGCTAGCGTAGAGAGAAAAAAAACACATACTGATAACGTATTTTATGCCTTAATCGCCAATAAAAACCTAAAAATTATGTGGATTGATCTGAAAATTTCCATATGTATTCGAGATAGTGTTGCCTCTGTTATGACGAAAACTTAGCAGTTTTAACTAAAAATAAATCTATCTGCTAGCTGAATAATTTTGACAGCCACTGTATATAGGCATTGGTTGAATTGGCGAAGAGTTATTTACGTAAATATTCAGGACGAATTTTTGAGACATCTTGTAAAGTCAATAATTCAGATTTGAACACAATAGAAAAAAACTATAGACTACACTTTTCCATCGTCAAAATTCACTCTGCTTCTATGTGTTCTATTTGTACATCTTTCTGCTTAATACTAAAAAGTGAAAATCATCTACAGTCATGTGCATGATTTATAAATTATTTCGCAGAATTATTGCTGAATTTCAGATATCAAATTGAGTAAAAACTGATCAATGCATTTTTGTTTTTATTTATTAAAACAGTTGGAATTCCTTAAATGTTAGAGAATTAAACTAGAAAATCAAAATAGCTGCTCATAATTGGAAATTTGTGGTTTTTTTCTTCTTAAATAAGTTTGACAACAACTGTTTTGACTTCATAATATGCTTCAAGACCATATCGTCCTAATTCACGTCCATGACCTGATTGTTTAAAACCGCCAAATGGTGCTTGATTACATACAGCATCATAATCATTTACCCAAACAGATCCAGCTTGTAATTGTTGGGCAAATGTAAGACCACGTGTTACTAGAAAATATAAAATAAAAAGTTATTATAAATTCATTAGTTTTTCTCTTAACTTACAATCTTTTGTAATTACACCAGCACCAAGACCAAAAGATGTACTATTAGCTCGTTTAATAACTTCTTCATATGAATCAAATTTTAATACGGACATTACAGGACCAAAGATCTAAACATTAATATTATTATAAAGTTTGATAATGGATAATAAAAAAAACATCATACTTCTTCACGAGCAATTTTCATGTTATCCTTGACACCACTAAAGATTGTTGGTTTAATAAAATAACCTTTATCACAAGCTCGTTCACCACCACATTCTAATTTAGCGCCATCTTTTTTAGCAGATTCAATATAAGTTAAAATCTTTTGAAATTGACTATCATTAATCTATAATATAATACTGAGTTTAATTTGTTTTTCGTAGAATATAACACTTTATACCTGTGGACCTTGTTCAGTACTAGGATCAAATGGGTCACCAACAACACGATTTTTAGCTAGTTCAACACTTCGAGCAACGAATTCATCATAGATTTTCGAATGAACAAATGTACGAGATCCAGCAGTACAATTTTGTGCAGCATTAGTAAAAATAGCTCGATGAGCAACGGATACAGCATAATCGACTATTTACCAGATAAGAACACAACATAGAAATTAGTTAATTAAGAAATTTTTTTAAGACTTACGATCAGCATCTTCACAAATGATCAATGGAGATTTGCCACCTATATTAGAAAAAAAACAATAATTCATATGAACTTTATTCAATATTATTTACCAAGTTCAAGTGAAACACGTTTAAGATTTGATTTAGCTGCAGCTTCTTGAACTTTCTTTCCTACCTACATTGGAACATTAAATATCTCTATTATAATTCAATTAAATATTCTTACTTCAACTGAACCTGTAAAAGCTACTTTATCAATATCTTCATGAACAGATATGGCATTGCCACATTCAGGTCCATCACCTAAATTATATTATCAAATCCTTATCATAACAATATCTATTTTACCTGGTACAATGTTAACAACACCTGGTGGAAAGCCTGCCTAGAATAGTATACAAGAGATAATTTGTATTTTGAATAATATCATTGATAAAACTACCTCTTTGATAAGAGATCCGCAATAGAGGGCAGAAAGTGGTGTTTGTTCAGCTGGTTTCAAAATGATGACATTACCTGTTTAAGACATGAGTAAATAAGAATATATAAAAGAAACTGACATATGGACTTACCACAAGCTAACGCTGGACCTAATTTCCAAGCCATCATCATAATCTAAATTCAACCAAATGAGTATATCAATATTATAGAAGAGCAAAACACACACCGGATAATTCCTACAATAGAAATATGTTTTATCTCTATAGAATACAAAGTTAAACCAACCATGGAATGATTTGTCCACACACACCGATTGGTTCATGACGAGTAAAAATAACCTGATCATGTGCTCCAGGAATGGTTTCACCAGTAATTTTATCAACCCATCCAGCATCTATAATCTTGATATATTATCTTTCCAATAGAATATTTAGATATACATACAATATTCGATACAATCAGCTGATGCAAAAATATCACCTTTACTATCTTCAACTGATTTGCCATTATTAAGAGTTTCTAATTTCTAAAAATATAAATTTCTATTGTGAGTAAGAAAGAATGCAAATAGAGATCTTACCGATAAATAATCAACATCACGTCGAAGAAGAGAAGCAAATTTTCGCATTAAATTACCACGTGCAACAGGCTCGTATTTACGCCAAGGTGATTCAATGTCAAAAGCTTTGCGAGCAGCTTGAACTGCCTTATCAACATCAGCCTATAAACGATGAAGAAATATAAATATAAACATAAAACTAAAATATATTTATATATGCATTCATACTCTAGTGCCCTCTTCTACTTGACAAATTTCTTCGCCTGTACTTGGATTGATAACTGGAAATGTTTTACCATTTGCTGCTTTATGCCATTCATTATTAATAAAAATTTGTGTATATTTAATTTCCACGTTAGGAGCTTTTGAATGAGTTGACGACATCTGAAAAAAATGCTAGAAAAAAAAACGTGAAAATGGTAAAATCAATGTGTTCCGATTCACAAACGACGAGATTACATTGTCATCGTCATCGTCATCTTATATATTGATAAAAAAAAACATTTATATACATCGCTCGCATTTTGCCTACCCGTTCTCTTTCGTCTGCGCGCCAACACAAACCATTTTTTTCTTCTTCTTACACGCCACACGTTCCCTCCTTTCTCACTACCTCGAGCGTAAGCAAATAAAATACGAAAAAAAAGTCGATTTTATTCTTTCTGACATACTGATATAACAATGTACGTCACACAAGTATTGCGAAGTATAAACTTATCAGATAAGCACAAAATTATTAATACCCGAATTCATTCATTAATTGGTAATCTAATAAAAATACTTCTAAATAAAAAAAGAACAACGAAACTTTTTCATCCATAAAATACTCATTCATATAAAATAGAAACAAAAATTTTAGTCAATTTTGATTGAAACTGTCTTCACTTCATAATATTCTTCAAGACCATTTCGTCCTAATTCACGTCCATGGCCGGATTGTTTAAAACCACCAAATGGAGCTTGAAATTGCAAAGTACTATATTGATTAACCCACACTGAACCAGCTTGCAATTGTTCAATGAATTGGAAAGCACGTGCCACTGAAATATAAATACTCTATGTATTACTATCTTCCAAATACTTATTCAACTTACAATCTTTTGTTATAACACCAGCAGCTAGACCATACTGTGTATCATTTGCACGTTTAATTGCTTCGTCATATGAGTCAAATTTAAATATTGACATTACTGGACCAAAAATCTAAATAAACATTTGAGTTTTGTTCTTTTATCAACAATAAACAAAAGTAAAACCTCTTCACGAGCTATTTTCATATCATCTTTTACATCACTAAAGATAGTTGGTTGAATGAAATAGCCTTTATCACCAATTCGTTCACCACCACATTCAAGTTTTGCACCGGCCTCTTTACCCGATTGAATGTACTGAAGAATTGATTCACANGGGGGGGGGGGGGGGGGGGGGGGGGGGGGGGGGGGGGGGGGGGGGGGGGGTGGGGGGGTGGATGTGAGCAATGGTGGGTATGGGTATGAGTCTTTTATTCTCTAATACACTCACTCTCACACCCACACCTACACCCACACCCACACCCACACCCACACCCACACCCACACCCACACCCTGATACTCTATTCTTTGCACTAAAAACAGTTTATTTAAATTTCATTGTACATCTTAGTGAGACTTTCACAGTGCAATGAAGAGTTTAAAGAGCAAACAGTATCGGCAATTTCAGAGTAAAAATTTCCTATCCATAGCCAATGCTTAACTTTAGATATCCGATTGACTTATCAAGTCGATACTCTTTTATTTAATAAAATAGTTTGAACTACATAAATGTTAGGAAATCAAACGAGCAAATCCAAATAGCTGTTATTCATGAAAAATTTGTATTGTTTGTCCTCAAATAAGTTTAACAACAACTGTTTTCACTTCATAGTATGCTTCGAGACCATATCGACCTAATTCTCTTCCCTGACCTGACTGTTTAAATCCACCAAATGGTGCTTGATTACATATAGCCTTATAAGTATTTATCCAAACAGAACCAGATCGTATTTGCTGAGCCAACGTAAGAGCACGTGTTACTGAAAAACTAGAATAATAACCAATAATTATTTCTTTCAAACTTACTGTCTCTAGTTATTACTCCAGCACCAAGTCCAAAAGTCGTGTCATTTGCTCGTTTGATAACTTCTTCATATGAGTCATACTTTAGGACTGACATTACTGGACCAAAAATCTAAACTTTTACATTATTATACAACGTTGCCAAAAAAAAATGTTATACCTCTTCACGAGCAATTTGCATCTCATCTTTTACACCACTAAAAATAGTTGGTTTGATAAAATAACCTTTATTACCAACTCGTTCACCACCACATTCTAATTTAGCTCCAGACTTTTTACCTGATTCTATATAACCGAAAATCTTTTGAAATTGACTATCATTTATCTATTATATAAAAATGAAGTGAAGTTTTCTTTAGACTAAAGAGATTGTTACTTGTGGTCCTTGTTCAGTATTAGAATCAAATGGATCACCAACAATACGTTTCTTGGCTAATTCAACACTACGAGTGATAAACTCATCATAAATTTTTGCTTGAACAAATGTACGAGATGCAGCCACACAACTTTGTGCAGCACTAGTAAAAATAGCATCATGAGCAAGTTTGACAGCAAAATCAACTTTTGAACGTAATAGAAAATGGTTTTTTGATTATTTGAAAGTCTTATAGGAATACTCACGATCAGCATCTTCACAGATGATCAAAGGAGATTTTCCACCTATACATAAAAAGAGAATAACTCAGATAAAAATTATTCCATACTTTATACTGACCAAGTTCAAGTGTAACACGTTTAAGATTTGATTTAGCTGCTGCTTCTTGTACTTTCTTTCCAATCTTCAATCAAACATTTCACATGCTATGTGTTTTAGTTTTATTAATGAATGTTCTTACTTCAACTGAACCAGTAAAGGCTACTTTATCAATATGTTCGTGAACAGCAATTGCATAACCACATTGAGGTCCATCACCTAACTATTCTTATGAAATTACTATAACAAATATCATTCAATTACCTGGTATGATGTTGACAACACCTGGTGGAAAGCCAGCCTAGGTCATCATGACAAAAACAAAGTATAATCGATATTTTGAGTAAAATGATGTATTATATGTTACCTCTTTAATGAGAGCAGCACAATAAAGTGCAGTAAGTGGTGTTTGTTCAGCTGGCTTCAATACAACCACATTACCTGTTTAAAACTTTGGTAAAAAGTCATCCGAAAAAATAACATCTTCACGTACCACAAGCTAATGCTGGCCCTAGTTTCCAAGCCAACATCATAATCTAAATTTAATGAAATAAATTATACCTGTATTATAAAAGAACAAAATGCATACAGGAGAATTCCTACAAAAGAAGTCTAGTTTATTCCTATAGAATCAAAAAACGAAACTCACCATGGAATGATTTGTCCACAAACACCAATTGGTTCATGTCGAGTATATATTAACTGATCATTCGGTCCAGAAATCGTTTCACCAACAATTTTATCAACCCATCCAGCATCTATATTTTCACCAAATATTACCTCTACAATACCAGAATCAGATATACGTACAATAATCAATACAATCAGCTGAGAATAATATTTCGCCTTTAGCCTGTTCTACTAATTTACCATTGTTAAGTGTTTCTAGTTTCTACATATTGATTTATGCTGAGAGAAAGAAAGAATATGAATAGAAATCTTACTGATAAATAATCAATATCTCTTCTAAGCAAAGCAGCAAATTTTCTCATCAAATTAGCATGTGCAACTGGATCTAAATTACGCCATGATGATTCAATGTCGAAAGCTTTTCGAGCAGCTTCAACTGCTTTATCAACATCAGCCTGAAAATCACAATATATAATCAACTAATGAAGAACATATAAAGATTCATACTCTAGTGCCTTCTTCTACTTGACAGATTTCTTCTCCTGTACTTGGATTGATGACAGAAAATGTTTTTCCATTGGTTGCTTTATGCCATTCATTGTTGATAAAGATTTGAGTATATTTAACTTCAACATTCGAAACTTTTGAATCAGCCCACTGCATCTGAAAAAAAGCAAGATGTTTTGATCGATAACAAGCATCATAATAATAGTATCATCGTCATTTATGTAAACTAAGGCACAGTTATATACCTCGCCCGTCCTTTGCCTTCTCGCTCTCTTTTAAACGTGCACAAACATATACTCACCTTTTTTCTTCTCACATATCATGCCTTTTCTCCTATTTTCTTAGAGCGAAAGAGAGCAGACGTTAAATAAAAGATAAAGTCGATTTTCTTCTTATCAATATAAAAATGTAGGTTCCATTAGCCACAGAAAAGAAACAAAATATAACGTACAAAACCATGCTTTTGTCGGCAAAAAAAACAAGCAATACATAAACAGCCATGATTTTGAGTAGAAAAAAATATTAGGAAAACGCTGAAACTAATACCTCTACTCATGCCACATGTAGCTTCATTTTCAAAATCACATGCGAATAGGACTGAACTGCAAGCAGATAACACTAGATAGAAGAAAAAAAGAATGTAGTACAATAACGCAATATCATAATCAGGGTATGTGCTATTTGAAGAAAAAGTTCTCCTTTTGTGATAGATAAAATAAGCGAACGAGAATCTCTATCTTGTTATTATGACACATCATTTTAGAGCACATGTTTAGCTTTTTTGTGACTTACTTAGAACGATGAATTTGTAAAAATATGTTGCTGCAATTATCCAGAATCCTAACCAGGATTAGATAGTCATAAGTTGAATTACAGATAGTTTTTTCTTTTTATGAAATATAACGTTCGAATGCTCATGCGAAGATTGTTCTCGATGAGGACAGACTTTAAATATGTTTTTTTCTTAAATCTGATTTTACTGCAAAGCGAAAATCCAATTTATGTCAAAATAAAAACTAAAATTAATGAAATATCACTCTGTTATAAATTCGTCAGCTTTTGAAACTATAAATGAATCTTCTGTTTGAATGAGTCAGTTGATCTGCAAAGGGTGTGGGTGTGGGGTGCGGGTATGGAGTGTGGGCGTGGGTGTGAATGTGGCGTGTGGGGTGTGGATTAACGAAACATCCGTACGCATACTTAAGGTGTGGGTATGTGGGTGTAGGGTGTGTGTGTGTGGATGTGGGTATGAAGATCTTTCTTTCGCCAAACATCGACACCCACACCAACCAATACTCACACGCCTATACCCACGCCCACACTCAAACTCACATACTTGCAACCACCGCTCACATCGACACTCCACATTCACACCCCACACACATCAACATGCACACCGTGTTGCTGCTTGGCAAAGATGTATGAAAATTATGTGCGAAAAAGCGTTTTTTGAAATAAAAAAGAGTTGAAATGTAGCTCGGATAGCTTTAATTTGTTTAACGGAAAATTGATTAGTAACGATATGAATGCATGAAATCAATTCATTGATAAACAACCTATATTAACTACTCAAACAAAACACCAAACACAGGTTAAAGCAGGTATACTGCGAAAGACGTTGCATAGCTATAATATAGCAAGTGTATCATTTTTACTTGTCACTGTGTGCAAACATATAACAGATATAGACAAAGACATGTATTATCTTTTTATGCTTCGTCGTTCTGTGTATATGCTCTTTCTCATTTACTAAATCTACGTTTATTGTTAACAATGGCACAAAGTCTCGTTATGCATACGTGTAAGAGTTATAGGAAATGAAATAAACAAATAAATGGTTCTGTTTTTTTTTTATTGAAGTTCTTATCGTGTTTTGTTTTTTATTCCGGACATCAGCTATAATAAGTCCGTGTGCACGATGGAACACAACAGGTGTTACTGTAGCTGGCGGTGTAAAAGGTAACCTATCCGATCAATTGGATGGACCTGAAGGGATATTTGTATACAAGCCGCTGAACAGATTATATGTGGCTGACTTCAACGATGAACGTATTCAAATGTTCTTACTTAATGAATCATCGCGTACAGGTGTTACAGTAGCATCCAATGTCATATTTCCTTCCAATGTCTATGTCGACGATGACGGAAGTCTTGAGCCGACCGTTTATGCGGCACTTAATAAATCAGATCGCGTCAATCAAGGGGTTAATGGATCCAAGGAAGCTATACAAATTGGTGGTGAATGCCGCTCATGCACAGGCATAGCAGTAGACAACGAGAAAAATGTCTATATGTCAGAACCGACTAGACATCGAGTGCTTAAATGGTCACGTCGAACAGATACTACTACAGTTATTGCCGGTCGAACAGATCAACCAGGATCGATGAGTAACCAACTCCGTAGGCCTCAAGATATTCATATTGATAGAATCCATGGGACATTATATGTGGCTGATTCAGATAATAATCGCGTGCAAAAATGGTTAAAAGATGCACAGGATGGCGTTACTCGAGCAGGATCAAGTTTGGGTGTTGCAGGCAATGATTCGGCAACATTCTCCGATCCAATTAGTGTTACAGTTGATGAAGTGACTAATATTTTATATGTAGCTGATTTTAATAATAGACGAATTCAACGTTGGCTACCGAATGCAACCGAAGGCGAGACTATTGCACAAGGATCAAGTACGCTCTCTACTTCAGAAAGTTTAATTGAAGTATTTTCAAAGAGAAAATTAAGATTACTTACGAGGAAAGGTCCCAAGATGATTAAAAGCTGTTGACCTCATATTTTATCCAGTGGTAAGAGATCGGTTGGCTAGAACAGCCTCCAAAGGGATCATGTTGAGGTTAAGATTTGGCAGAGATATTAAGTTTTTAATGAATTTTCCCTGTATAGACCCAATTCTTTGATAAGATGTTGTTGTCGAGTTTTTATCTGAAAACTTTACGCAAATGAAGGTGTCAGTGAGTGTAACTTCTGCACAAAATTTCAGTAGTTGTCGATCGAATGCCTCTGAAATATGCATTCTCCAAAATAGGCGCGCTGTACAAGGTATCAATGGAAAAGCGCCTAAAGCAAGGGGGGGAAAAGCGATACTTCATCTACTCCCATACTTTTGGAAGTACAATGGGAGTACAGTGGGAGTACGATGGGAGTACAGTGGGAGTGCAGCGGGAGTACAGTGGGAGTACAGTGGGAGTACGATGGGAGTAC